TGCTATATTATCATGGTTATCTTTCCTTCTAAAAAAAAAAAAATTATCGTTGTTGCTTTGTACTCTGCATGTTTCGGATTTTTTTCTAGCTATCTTATCATGGGTTTGTAGGGTTTGAAGAAACATATCACTTCATTTCTGTTCATAAAATCTATCTATTTTTTGCTGGAAAAAAGAAGTAATATACTACATTCTCATTTAAAAATAGGTAGTGCTTTGTGTTTTTCTCTTCAATTTTGTCTGAACTCTGCCTATTGAACAGAACTTTGCAACAAGGCATGCGGCTTCTCAACCTGTCAGTAGTGACCAAGAAATTCAAACTCCTTTGCATTCAGGAATTTAGATTAATGGCATAAAGGGGTCACAGGATTTATTACTACTTTTTTCTTTTCTTTTTTTTTCATTCTTTAACATGTTTTGTTTTGACCATTCATTTCAGCACCAAATTTTTTTAACTTTTCTACCTCTGAGATGTTTATACTGGGTGAGCTGAATCCTTGGTCCTCTGGAATGTTCTTTTTAAACTTTAAATATTTTTTCCAGGTTAGTCATATTATCTGGAAGGTAAACCAGAAATGAACATTAAAATTAAATTAGTTTGCTTTCTGATAATCTGTTTGGTAATGTGTTCATTGCATAAGATTTGATAAAGTCTGAGTAAAGATGTTGCCATTTTAATAGTAAAGCTGAGCCACAGGTGGAGAAGTTCTTTACTAAATACTGATTAGGTTTGTTTTCAAGGAATATTTGATTTTCTTGACCTTTTATGTCATTCTAATTTCATGTTATTTGAATTAAAATGTCATCTTTTTTTATAGTACCTAAAATAGACTTTATTAGTTTTCCTGAAAGCTATGTGCAGCTTTGCTTTGGCCCATTTAAATATTGAAAACAGCAGGATTTGAGATTTTTCTTATAATCCTCAACTAATAGAGTTTAATGCTTTGTTTGGCCTACCCTACACAGCCTAAGCAAAAGTTTTAAACAAGATTAAAAATATGACCTTATTAACCCATGGCGTCTAAAGATACAGAACAGGCCTACAGAGACATCAGTCATTCGTTAGCCAGGATAGCATGGTGCCATTCCCAATCTACTCAGTCTGTTCCAGAGGAAAACATTTTGGGAGCCCGGCTTTTTTCTTTTGTAGCTTTGGCCATTGTGCCAGCACCCGGGAATGAGAAAGAAAAAAAACCAAGAATCTGTTTCTAAGTTGACTATTCAGTCTTTGTGGTTGGGGAAAATAAAGTTCAATTACTTTTGGAACTTTGAGGTGCAACCTGGCTGGGATTTCTCAAAAACAATTCCGGCAGAGTGAAGGGACAGCAGAGGTGGGGCTTAGCTTTTGTTTACTGCACTTCATTAGTCCCTGAATAAAATGAGTTTCACCTTTCTTTCTTTGAAAAGAAGTTACAGTTGTATGTAAGCTGTTGGATGGGTGATTGATGAATGTGTTGAGTTCCAGAAGAATAAGGTATCTCATTGTCATGGAAAATTTTGCTTAGTAAACACTACAAAACACAAAATGACATGATACATTTATTGCTGTGTAATAAGATTCCTTGTTTACCGGGCATGCTATAGGTCCATGGCAACAAAACCAGAAATAGGAACTATGAGTATTCTTGTTGTAAAGGTGATGATGGTTATCAAGCAGTTCGTTAATTGCTGGAGTTTTACATCACTCCATATTCATTATCACTTTGCAGCGCTGCTAGTAGCATGAGGATCAGTGAAGAGGTGTAAATGTGAAAGTTTGACCAAAACCTGTAATAAAAATAATGTGGTTTATTGTATGGTATGGAAGAGTCAGGTAAATGTGCACTTGGCTGATGCTTTGAGACAGTTATCTGTAAGTGTTCCAGGGGAGAGAATATAAAGACAGTTTGCTTAAATAAAAAAAAAAAACACCCACCCAGAAAAACCCCAAAAACAAAAAACAGAAGACTTTCTAAACTTCGGTCTTTCTAATGATGTTCCAAAACAAAGCAAAATGACTGAATATTATTTCTTTACTTAATCCTTTAAAAATACTAGTATCTTGCTTAACTTTCAGCGTATCAGTTGCCCTTTTGATCTCAACGGGGCAGAATCTGGATACATGTTCATTAAGTTCAAGACCCAGCTGAAAATTGGAGGCAAAATCAAGCCAGACAAATTGCTTACACCGTCAGTGATAAACATTTCCTGCTTTCATACCATTATTTACATTTTTTTAAGAAAGGAACTTCATTTTCAAAAAACAGAAAGTGGCTGACGTTTTTGCAACCGTATGTGCACTAACTGAAAAATTCAGTATTTGTACACCTACCGTAAGTCTTGGTTTGTGGAATGGAGAGTTTCTTAAGACCTGGGGCAACAGAAAGCATTGAAGATGGGAAGGAAGAGGGTGAAAAGGCCTCAGTTTTTCCTCTCTTTTCCTGTCTTATTTATTTTCCTTAGTTCAGTGCTTTTGGCCTTTCCTGGCTCGCTGCCTTGTTCCCATCAGTGGTGCCAAATCCCTAAAGCAAAAAACTGGTAGTCTTCAGGAATAAGATGGTCTGTAGGTAGATCAAGAAGTCTAAGGAAACCAAGAATTTACATCTGATTACTGAACATTTCGTTTTCTTTCTGCATCAAGCTTCACTGACCTTCCATAGTTTTGAGAATATATGCAGTGGTCAGTGATGGGGAGCTGATGTTTAGGGATAATCGTGTTTCTGTTTGGTAGAGTTCTGCTGCTGATTCAGATGCGTTCTCTACACGGCTAAGTCATCCCAAACGAGATGATTTGATGCTGCTGTTCGCTTTCCATCTGTAAGAGCGGCACTTGCATTGCAGTCATGCTTTCACAACTGTAGAATGTATATTAAGATCCTCCACATCTGTATCTAAAAGGCAGCGTAACTTGTGGCTGGCACGGTGGTGTTTTCCTTGACCCTATCTTTTACAAAAGTTGCATTAATCTTTCATTTGACAATCAAAATTCCCACCACTCTTGGACGTCTACGTCTGCCTTGTTACTTAAGCAGTACTTTTTTTTCCCCTGCTGTTCTTCTGCATTCTTGATTGGTGAATATGCTTTCAGTTTCGTTTTGGTGGTTGATTGTGAATGATTATAGAAAGGAAAAAGTGATAAAAAGCATTTGCAATATGAGTAGTTAATTAACTCAGTAAAATGAGGTTTTCAAGCTGTGGTCTGTAAACTGAAACTGTGAGCACTGCCTTTTAAAGGGTGAAAAAAGAAAACACTGTTGGTGGTTTCAAGTCTCCTGGATACTGTGCTGGAAAATGTTAGTTTTGAAAATGAAAAAAATTAAAAGTAGTTGGTATAAATATTCAAATAACGAAAGCGTTCTGTAAAAACAGTTTAATGAAGATTAAAAGGTCACTTAGACAATTTAGGTGGGTTTTTTTTAGTAACTACATGGCTAACTTGGTTTACCTCAAAGTAGTAATTTTATGCTGTGTATAGCAAGAAATTAATAATGTAAAAGTTTTGTCATAGTGCATTACAATTAAGTTACAGTTTACAGACTCAATACTAGTAATATCTTTAGGATGCTAATTCCTGGTTATACCATATCTTTGGTTAGGCATTTCATTTGATTGCACTATTTAGCATTGAAAATAACTATTGTCAGATTTGACATAAAATACAATACATGTATAGTAGAGGCAGTGGTTTACACTCTAGCTTGCTTGAGCATCATGCTTTTTAATTTGGCGGCAGTTAATCCCAAATGATAGTGCTCATATAAAGCATTCCAAGTGTTTTTTTAGCCTACTCTTCTGCTTGTAGTTAAAAGGTAATTTTACATATTTGCATTAGCCCTTCATTATTTATTTTAGATTTTATGTCCAAACGAATTTATGTTTGAATGTCTCTGTCAGGTTGAGTTCTCTGCTCTAGCTTTTTCTGCTATGACATCATTTTTGTGCTGTAACTTTTTTGTACTTTGAGGTTCTTTGGTCTCCTTTCATTTGTTTCTACTTTTAATAACTTACCCGTTTTTTTTCCCCCCCCTCTATTTTTTTTCCGTTCATTGTTTTTTTAATAACTTCCCCCTCTGTTTTTTA